TCTAGAACTTCCTGAAGTATCTTATTTTCAAGTGGGAAAAAAAAAATAAATTAGGGAACCTTCCCTAAAAAAACAGAACACTCCACAGTGCTGACCCATAATGAATTCTATTCTGGATAAAGCATCAGAACCTACTCCCTGATCAGCAGAGAAATGTCTAAGCAAATAATCAAAATCAAACACAGCTCTCTTTCTTTAACCATCCAAAAAGCTATAAAACCTCAGTGAAAAGAAGCAAAGTTTTAGTGTTAAAAGCTGCAGCTTGCCTTTCGATTTGGGAACACACACACATATACACTACATGTTATATAGACACACACACATACATATACACCCTTATTAAATTCTCGAGACAGTGTAATTGAAGTGATAGATAGCAAGTGTTGCTGTTTAAATAATTTCTCAGTAAGGAATATGTGCACATTTCATTCATATTTTATTACATGTCTGCAGCCAATATCTGCTTACTGTTATGAAAGACTGGAGGAAAAAAGATAGGTCATAGCTAAACTGAAAGCATCACTGGATAAGTCCACTTTTTCAAGAGTTAAAACTACAAAACATATTCAAAAAGCTTCAATGCCCAGAAAAAACACCATTATAGTATGTTAACCAAACGATGCAAATGACTATACATGCAGCCTGAGCCTGCTTTGACCATAATGCATTTCAGTTGCACACAGGACTATTTCATCGAGCCATAAATCAAGTCACATTACCTCACAACTAAAGTGAACTAAAGGTATAACATATACAGAGAATTACGGTGACACAGTAATTTGTCCAACCGCAGTAATTCAGCCTCCTCCCCACTCTTTAAGCCTCTAGATTGACCCATCAAAGTTTGAGAAAGAAAAAGGTTTGCTTTTACTGGAGTTTGTTTTAGACACACAATACAAAGTGGACAGGTGTTTCAGCTGAAAATCATCTTCTAACGTGGGCAATGAGTGTTTACAATCTTACAGTGAAACGCATCACAGGTGACTAACCTCCACTGATTTCACCATCACTGGGTCCATGCCTCAGTGGTTTAAGAGCTTAAATCTTAGATTCAAAAATGGCACAGGAATGAGATGGTCTAAGAAAACACCAACTTCCTCATGGGTCAGGGCATAAAGTTGTCATAATATGATGCAATCCCTTGAATAAAGGCAAATCTGTCCCAATTTAAGAAATTTTAGAACAATTGCAATACAATATGTTTTATTCCAAGTGCAGAGTATTTGATATTCATGGCAGCTGTACGTTTCTGAATAGTTCCCTAAGGCAGAGGTAGCTACCACCAGGCTTTTTCTCCTGGTGGTTCCCTTTCTCCAGAGAAAGGTTCCCTTTCTCCAGAGAATCCTACAGAAAAGGCCCAGCACCAAAGCGCCTATGTCTTCTTGAAAACCAATATGAATAAAGCTTCAAAGTCTCTTACAAACTTCTGAAAATTTCCTTCAGCTTTTATTTTTTCTTGGAATAATTTTCTTGTCCCAGTGAAGCCAGAAAGTAAAAGAGAAGCTAAAACAGAATTAACAATTGTGTAAAACTCAGTTCTTGAGCAGAAGAGCTTCTGAAGTGAAGAATTCCTACCAGAAAAAAGCAATATCCCAGTCCAACTCAGTTCTTTACAAGACAAAGCAACACTTAAGTTCAAAATTGTCTGGATGGTCTTTAGGACTAATGAAGAAAAGATCCTATAAATGTAATTAGAGTTTAGGTATACTAATCAAGTGAGAAAAAACAGATATCCAATACTGTACTTCAATTTCCCCACTGAGATACATTTGCTGATGGCAACAGCATCGTGCATTACTAAGCAGAATAGCTGGATTTGGCATTGCCAAGTCTCTAATTTTATCACAGGTCTCATGATACTTGTTATTTTTCTTAAAATCCCAGTTTAAGTCCTACAATTATCTGGGTAACACAGTTTTTATTGGAGAAAACACATAGCACCCTCTACATGGAGAAAAAGTAAAAAAAGTTCTCAAGGCTCAAAAACCAGAAGGCAAATACACATTCTTTTTACAAGAATGCAAAACATATTCTTTTTACAAGTAGATTTATGAGCAGAACAACCGATGCAGCCTGGTTTTCTATGTTTTTTTGTTTTGTGATTGATTCTCTGATGTTTAACAAGGTGCAAATCCAAATTAAATTTTTCCCATGGCTGTGGATTTCCAATAGCTTCTTCCCCTTACAGATCTCATAGAGTCTAAAAAAAGAGTTTGAGCTCTTTCTACAGAACTGAGAGTTCTACCAGGTACCATCTCCTCTCGAGAAAGTGGGAGGGAGAGAAACAGAGGGAGAGACATTTTCTTTATGTGACTCAAGTTTCTGAAATAATACTGAGGAAACAATCTTTTTAATAGCAAAGTAATTAGCAAATATTCAGTTAAGTCAGTATAAATTCAGAAAATGAAAAAAAAATCTACAACCCATAGAATACCTGTAAACAAACAAGTATTTATTATTTTCAATGCTGGGTGTAAACTCTCACGTCCCAAAGCACTTTATTTTTAAAAGTAATGTTTTCCACATAAGGTATATTTTACATCGTAATGGGCTCTATTTGGTACTCTTCCTTATCAGGGATACTTGAACCTGAACAGCAGAAACAGAAATGAATGGGGAGAGTAGGTTAGGTAAGGAAGGAAGAAATACAGACTGACACACAGAAACTCTGTGATCATCAGGTTTCCTTAGGGAGGCAGACTAAAGAAACCAACAACATTTTAAAATGAAAGAAGATACCAATAACACCAATTTTAGGATAAACAGACTACTCCTTCGGAAAAAATATGCAGTTCCTTTTCACCTATATGGCAAACCAGTAAAGACTGTGTTGGGAAAGTTCTAACAAAAACCTTTGCAGATTCTCTCATGTGACATGGCAAATGATCACACAGTATTAACTAATGAAGAGTTTAAGCATTTTAAAATAAACATGTTAAAATGAAGTAAAAAAGCACACCCTTACATAACAGTGAACAAAAGAAAAAAAGGTTAAAGTTTTAAATATTATAATGCCTACACACCATTCAATTCCATATCAAATCAAGAAAAAATGGTGGTGTTTTTAATACACAAGTATACACAGAAAACCCTACATTTTACTTCTGAATTTAAGGATCTAGTAAGTTTGATGAAAACAGAAATTTCTTACTGTGATTCTCTTCATATCTAGCTGTCGGAGCTGCATCATATGATGGAGAACAGTGTGTTTGTACCATGTCTCCTGAGCTATTGGATTGCCATCAAGGGTGATATCTGACAAAGATGAGGAATCAGCAAGGCACAGAATATCCTCAAAACTGTAACCAAAAAAGTTTAAAGTTTTAATGTCATAGAGTAGGAATAAATTTGAGATGGAAGATTTTATTTCTTAAGGATAGAACATTAATATTTACCTGTACTGAAAAAAACCCCATCCATCAATATTGTGTATGATAAATCAAATTGTAAGTATTTTGAAATACAAACAGCTGCTGCTGTTAAAACTTTTTAACCTCTTCACATACAGGTAAAGAGATGCAGAATAAGGAGAACTTGTTAACTATGGGAGTATAGTTTCACCTAACCCCCCCCCCCTAAAATAGGATACATATCAACATATTCCGAAAAATAATACAAGGTGTATTTTCCATCAAAATAAGCAGGAAAACCATGGAAAATACAAGAAAAACAGTGAACCACAAATACCACAGAATGATCCTGGTTGTTTGCAACATCATCATATATCAGAAAAAAAACAATTACAAAAGCATCATATTATCTTCAAAGATCTGTCCTATTGTTCAGAGTTCAGTATACAAACACTAACAAGTTGGCTTTTAGACATCTGATTTGGTTTCTGGACAAAAATAACTGGCCTGTGTAAAATGTATTTAGAGATGTACAGCCTGTATCATGTTCCTTCTATTCAAGACGGAATGTGTAAAGAAAGAAGCTGACTCAGATAAACAGTATTTTAAATCAGAGAACTATTTAACCTGATTTCAAAAAAACCTGAACAGTTATAGAAGTAAATGTCTCCCCGTTTACAGTCTCCCCAAAATGTCTCCCCAAAAGACTCCTTTTAAGAAATTGATTACAGTGTACAAATGTACAACTGTGCACCAACCCTTATGCACTTTGGCCTTCAAAAGTCGAGCCTGTGTTATGAAGTTAAGTAAGTTCATGTGAAAAGAATGAAATAATTTGACTTGGTGCTTTTGAGAATTAAGTTTTTAAAAAAAAAAATCTGAAAAATACAAAAGAATCAATGAAGATCACATAAAAATGTAAACAGAAGATCACTTTACCAGAAAAACAAACACTAAATGACATTATGAAGTAAGAGATCATTTCTGAAGTGGAAAACACAGAATTACTGCCATTATTTTAATATCCTGACAATCTTACTGATTGCATCAATTGGTTATAGTTCTTCTCACTCTTGGTGGCAGAAAAAGTATTCCTCCAGTAATACTACGAAGGATAACAAACCTTAAGTATGCCCTGAATTTAGGGATTAGAAATTGTATGCAGTAAAGATGTTCACATTGAATTGTATTCATATTCAATTCATATTGACTATCACTGAATAAGGTGGCAACTGCCTTTATCATTGGTATCACTCAATTTTCAAAAATACATTCAATAATCTCCTGAGGACTAACATTCAGCTGCAAAGGGCTTCAGATCTATTGGAATGTCAGATTTTAAAGTGAGATATCCGTGAAAGATTCTAGGTACTAGATAAAACAATTCCTGCAACAGCAACAAAAAGAACTACAGATAAAAATAAAAATAATACCACCAACTGCAATCAGTCTCAACCAGCAGAATAAAGGCCTGGATACCAACATAAGCTAGCAGGAGTAAAGAAAAGAAATCACCCAATACAAATCTCAAAAAACCCAATGCAATTCTACATGATACACCTAGCAGAGCAGCAGAAACATGACAGATTGAAGTGGAAGATACTACTACCTTTCTGGTTAGTGTATTAAAACAACTTATGAACTAATGGAAAATGAACTATGTACAGATTCCAATGGAAGTAGTGAAGGTACTTATCTGAAGAACTGGGAGATTTGTATATGTGTTTAAGATGACAAGTTTGATTACAATTTTCTGCTAAAACAGCTTGCATAACCACAGTTTTTGAAGATCAGGCTGACATATTACTTAAAATACATACACAATATGTCCTGAAGTTAACAGATAATCTCCCCAAATGACACTGAAGTTAGTAAAGAAACTTGTAAGCATGTTAGAATATGAAAAGAGAACTGAATTTCCATTGGGCCAGAATAGATTTTACTTGACAAATATGAAAAATTTTTGGTCTTCAAAATTAGTTTCAAGTAACGTAAATATATTTACTAAAAGCATTAACTATACATACTACACACACTTCCCACTAAACATTTAACCGAAGAGTACTTCTGCTATTACATATGATTTACAGATTTTTAATAAAACCAATCTCTTCAGGAAATGACAGAAAAGTTGAAAGTTCGCTAGTGTTTTCAAGACCTTCCACTAATACATACTGCTGTGCTTTGAAATTCTCAGTGCTTTAGCATACCAGAACACTCATTCTGGAGCTAAAACAGATGTGCTTGCTTTATCCTGCTTTTGGCTGCCCTAACGGCAGCTCAATTTTAGAGCAAAACAGTAAATAGCTACGTTTTCACATATTTGTATACACATATGAAAAACAGAGCTGTAGAAATTCAATGTGGAAGCCTTAATATACTGTACATGTCACACGGGCATCCCAATCCTAAGCCAAGCAAAGCTTTAATGCAATATACTTACCAAACAGACTGCATACTTTACAACCAAGCTTCTGTCTGCTTCCCAGCACGCACACTGCTGTGACAGAGCCAAGGGGTGACCACCCTATGGGAATCAGAGGCCATGTCTCAATGCTCTCTCTAGCCTCTGTTCACCACAAAGGAGTCTTTAACCTGTTCATGCAATACAAAGCAGCTGTGTATGATGATGTTTCAGACTGCCTCTGTCAATCTTGAGTGGAATCTCTGGATCTCTTTCCAAAAGACCTTCTCCGGCAGGAGTCCCACCAAACTACAGTAACTGCCTCTCATTCCCTGCTTTTCTTTCTTCCTAGATGAATTAATCTTTGCTAAAATAGTAGTTTCAGCAACACAGAAACAAGTTGTGAATTTGGGATAAATAAGCAAAATGTGTTTCTGGAAATCTTTTCAGAACAGATCACTTTTGCATCTTGTGTGCATGCTCTGTCCTGCATTCAATTCTCCCCTCTGCCAGAGACGATGCAAACCCAGTTCTGCCTCATATGAGAACATGACAACTACTGAGCAGCAGAGTATTCTGGTGTGGCATAAGCTCAAGCTCCACCAGTGACATACGTTCACATTTACACATTCAGTAGGCAAGAACAAGCCACAGGAACACTTGTCCTCTGTTACAGCCTCCATGCTTAGGAAGACAGTTGTTCCTTCTCTATACATTTGCACCAATATGGGTTTTTTTTAAAAAAAAAACAAACAACATGTTGCATAAAGAGGAAAAGCTCTGGAAAACAGAAGGAAGGCAACATACTCACTGTAGTCTGACAGAACACCCGAGAGGGAACTGTATGTTCAAAAAATATTCAAAGAAGAAAACTTGGGTTTTCCCAGGTTCCTAACCACCACACTACTGATGGAAACAGATGTTACCAGTCAACCTTTCATTCCCCTTGTACTGCTTTTGTTCAAGTATTTAACAATTCATTTCTAAATTTTCAATCTGCTAGAAAAAAAGGTACTTTCTTGGTTTTATTAGAACATTCCTTCTCTCAGGTTTCCAATTCAGCAACCAAATGAAGAGAAACAATTACATGTCCTTTCAGCTTGTATCCAACTTTTTCCACATGGCTAGACAACATGCCTTACTAAATGAAAAAGCCAACACAGTGCTGACCTGGACAGTAATGTAACAGTGAAAATATATACTTTGTTTCCAAGATTAAAAAATGATCTTCTCTGGTTTCCCATTTTGAAATATGAGCAATAACCCTCTTTCTGAATCTCAGTGGCACATCTTCCTGAAGAAAAGTTTCTGTAATATCTTTCCACTACCACATGACAAATTCAAAATGGGATTTCTCCCCCTTCTTTATAACTAGTTCTAGAGAATATATATTGCCTTTGGCCATCAGGTATGAACATCTTTAGTTTGTAACTGCTAAATTTTTGGGGGCTGAAACCAGGAGCAGGACTTCTTTTGTTTCAGATCAGCATCAACTTCTGCAGCATTCAGTTTTAACTTACATTATCTTGCCCAAACATCCTTTTTTACTAAAAGCTCTGCAGGAAGCAGAAGCATTCTGAGGCCTCCTCTAAAGCATAAGGGAAAAAGAATGTCAGTGACAAAACCCATGACAGATTCCCATGCCCTAAATAGTGACAATTTTTAAAAGGCATTCCTGAATCTTTTACTGAAATATTACTTAATATATATCACTATGTATCGATTCAAGACTCAAGGATTCTTGCTGACATACAAAAATAAGAAGCAGCAAAACTTTCCATGGGAGCACTGCCTCAAAAACACTACTTTTTTTAATGATCACTAATAAAAATAATCATCACTAATAAAACAAATATTATAATGAACCCGTAACATAAATATATGTATGTTTTGGCAATATACTTTGCTGTTTGTTTCCATTTGCAGGTTTCCTCTATGCACTGACAGAATATCTGTGTATCAATTTGACTGTCTGAAAGAAGTGAGCTGTATAGACACAGCTGTTTCTAGGAAAAATAGTTTTTAAAATTACCATATGGCATACAGTAAACCCAGGTTAAGTGACTCATAAAATCACACACGATCATTTAAAAGGGTTGTAGGAATGTTCAGATGTAGCACAGCAATGCACTAGTATTATGGTTGCATATAAATCCTTCAGTCAGTTCAAACAGTATCAAGCCAAGTATTAGAACACAGATGGTCAAGACTATACTTTTATTTAATTATTTTCCTGTTAGAAGACATATCTACTACAAAACTCAAAATCAGAAACTAATGGGGTTTTTAGCCTTCAAAACTGCTTTATGCAACAGCAGATTATTATTTCAAAAACCCAAGCTAAATATGAAAATCAAAAGAAATTTTTCATTTTTTAAAAAAATGACTAGTAAATAAAGAGTTAAACTGATCCATCCATCCATCCATCTATATACCCACATATGTATACAAAATTTACAGAAGAGCAATGTTTTTGTTTGTCATTAAGATTTTATTTTTATACCTATTCCAGCTACAAATTAAAACCAAATTATATATTTGCACAAATGTTCTAAATAAGTATTTCTAGCTTACATGAAAACTAGGACTAGATCTATCAATAGTTCAACTGAAGCCCCAATGAATAAATTGATAAAGTACCTAGAAGCAAGCTACTGATTACATAAAGTTTGAGAAATCTACTTTGAAAACCTCACAGAAAAAACAAAACACTTCTCCTTCTTTGAACAATGTAAAAATAACATGAATTTGCATAAAACAAGGTGAGAAAGGAGTTAGAAAGCTACACAAAATATACCAAGTATATAAAAAGGTACAGAAATTCCACTGACTGCAGTGATGCTCCCTGATGGCAAGGGAGCCAGCTACTGCAGTCCCCTCATTGTTCTTGCCAGGCTAAGACATTTTTTAGAAGAACAGAAACAAAAGGCATGTTTCAATTCTGGAAACTATTCAAGAAAACGCTAACCCTCTCTCTTTATTATGCCAATTAAAAACATAAAATAAAAATACTATCAGATTAATTAAGGGAAGAGCATATTCGAGATTCCTGCAGTTCATTTCTGATTTTTTAAAAAATGCTTAATACCCATGAGTATGTAAGGAGATCTACTGCATTTGTACTTCAAGAACCTAGGGAACACAAGTAGGTTGGAGCTGTCTGCAAAAAACATAATGCAGGTCAACTTAAAATGTACAAGTAGCTGTTACAATAAAAGCTCATACTAAGTATAACATTTTACAGAGAAAGCAGATACCACAAGAACAGTGGTATTTCAGTAATTAGAACACGAAGCATCTTTCCCCTATCCCTCATTAAATTATTTGATTCTAAAGCTGGTGGTGATTAAGGGATAAAAAAATAAAGGACATACCAAACTGAAGATAATGCAAGCAGTTTTGTTTTGTTTTTTTAAAATATCGACACTAGTATAAATGCAGACTCCAAAAATGCATGAATATGAAAAAGCATACAAGACAAACATTTCTATCCATTTATAACAAAATGCACTTAGTTACTTGAAACTATAGAAGCCCTGCTTTGAAAGTTGAGCTCTTCTGCTTCTGTCATCTGGTTTGAAATGGAAATAACCATGAATATACCTTTCAGAGTTTATTAATGTATGGACAAGTAAAATACAAGCATGAAATAAATAATCTAATCATTGTAAGAGTCTGACTCAGCAGTTTATGTAACTCCATGAATACAGTAATGGTATGTTATATATAATATGTACCTTGTGTAATGTTGCTTTAACAGATATCTAGTTTAGCAGTAAAACATGTTTACACAAGTATTTTTAATTTTGATCATCATTGTAAACAGTATGATAATTTTTAAATTGAAAATATAAGTTTCTTTGTAGAATACTCATAGTGCAACTACATTTAAATATAAAGGGTTTCAAGAATTTTTATATTTAAAGTAGAAAATACACAATGGTTTGATTATGCTATCTGATATGTTAGGGGAAAAAAAAAAAAAAAAAAAAGTATCTGCACTCATAGATTTTGAATTTAAATTTTAATGAAATACAGCTCCATACAGGATACTTCAAATTACTGATAGGAAGCAAACTGCTATTTCCCTTACCTAGATATATTGTTGAAGCTGAGGAAGAGACGTTGGAGACGGGGCAAAGTATCCACATCTTTCTAGAAGGAAAGATAGAGGCATAAATTCAGTAGCTGAAAGTAGCTTTTGAACCTCTCTACTTTGTCTGATGTAATACAATCCTTTCTATATGCTATAACCTTGCTGCAACATTGATTTCTTTTGAATGTGCAGCTCCATTTCTCCCTAGTGCAGACTGCAAGGGAGTGTTTCAGTGCAGATATCCACTCTGCAGAACAAGCTGCATCACTTGCAAAGCAAATGATGTTAAAGAAAAGAGGATAAGGCTTCTGCTGGTTTCTGAACAGGCTTTTGGGAAATAAGCCAAGGTGCTGCCTCAGCATTTAAGCTGCAGTATAAACACACTGTTTAAAAAAAAAAGAAAAAAGTTTATTTTGTGACCATATAGAAATAAGGTTTTTGAAGTGCAATACAGCAGTGCAATTAGCACTACCAAGCAGCAGTGACCCTTCTGCCACAGAATGATCTGAAGGACTCTGTCACCTTTACAGTTAATTTATAAGAAGGAATGAGTTTCCAGAATGAGTAATTGTGAATTTAATATATGCCACTAACGACCTTTGCAGAAAATCTCTAAATAGCAAATAGCTCAAATATTAGTAAGATGAAACTTATCAAGTAAGATCACACTTCATTTATGAAGTATAATTCCATAATGGCCAGACAGCACAGTCTGCAGTGATTCATACACCACTCAGACTGCACACCTAATCCCTCAGTTCTAAGGCTGCATTCTCCTTACCCTACTAAGGACCATACTCCAACTTGCAACCAGTGAACACAAAACTCTTACTTAGAGCACAGGGAAGTGTCACAGGGCTCACTACCTTGATTTTACCACAAAATCGAATCTATAGCGCTTCCTCTCTCCATCTGATTTGTGACATGTCTACATAGCACTCCAGAAACACAAATAGTTCATTCTACCCAAACAGGTGAACACCAGGCAGCTCTAAACAAACTGTGTAGCTGCTATCAATGAAACACTGAATGTGAGCTAACAAGCATTGCTGAGAGTCATACCTCTGTATACAATTAGCTCAGGTCTGCAGTTGCAAAACTCCTGGTTCAGAGCTGTTCTGAATTCTCCCAGACTAGACCATGGAAAGATTGGGTTCACAACAGATTTATATCAGCACGTCCCCTCTGTCCCTAAGGCTACTCGGTGTTGATACTTAAAGGGGTGGGTGTGCATGATACAGGTGGATATACACATGAAGACAGGCATTATAGGGTTGTGCACAGCAATTCTTAAGCTGCAATGATTTGAACTAATCAGAGAATTTTGCATTGGAGAACACAACATAATTTCCCCTGAAGACAAATTTCAATAACTAGCACAATATGTGGCTGTCCTGTAAAATATGTTGCAAGTCTCACAGGTGTGACAGCAAACACATTCAATAACATTAACAGAAGAAAAAAAAAAAAAAAAAAAAAAAACCTTAAGCTACTTCAGTTTTGATACAAAGTCATCTAGGACAGTGAACATACAGGGCAAGAGGTCTTTTATGAAAAGATGGTCAACACCTGGACCAGACCTCCTTCAAGTCGAAGACCAAGCTGCAGGTGACAAAA